TACGTGAGCCACATGCTCATGATGAACCAGCCGAGCGCGATCGAGACAAACTTGGCGAGCTGCATGTTCTCCGCCTCGGCCTTGGCCACGTTTTCACCGTAGCGCGTCTTGGCCCGCGGCTCGCCGTTGAGCGACGCGACCGTGCGCATGGACCCAATGGTCTCCTCGGCGACGGCACCGGCGGCGGCATAAACCTGCTGACTCCGGGTCGTCGACTCTTGAAGACGCTTGATAAGCCACGTGAGCGAGATGGCCATCATCGGCATGACCGCGCACATGGCGAGCGAGATGTTCCAGCCCTTGTAAAAGCCGATCGCGTAGCCGACAATGAACTGGAAGACGGCGCGGAGGGCCTCGCCGAGCTTCTCGCCCATGCCTTCCTTGATCTTGACGGTATCCCCGGAAATGCGCGACGCGAGCTCGCTGGCGTCGCGCTGGTCGTACCACCCAATCTCTTGAAACACAATGTGCTTGAGGACTTCGCGGCGCAGCGACCGCATTTGGCGCTCGGCAGAAATCGCAAAGCACGTAAACGAGCCGTAGCCCGCAACAAGGAGGACGATCGCGAGGATCAGGTAGTTGAGGCACGTCTCGTTGATGGCCGACTGGTTGAACGGCGTAAAGTTGTTGAGCGCGTCGCCAAAGAGGATCGCCATAAAGGGCAGCGCGCCGCCGCTTACGATCGACATGACGAGACCCACGCCCATGAGGGCCCAGTCGCTCGGCGTCGCATACCGGTAGAGCGACAGGAACGAGAATTTGGCCGGCGGGGTCGACGCGTCCTCGGTCACCGGCCCCCGCGGCGTCTGCACGACAACGTAGTCGTCTTTGGTGCCTTTATCGGGTGGCGCCATGAAGGTGAGTTGAAGAATGAGGACGCTGCAGAGAAGACATAGCTTTCGAAGCTGCTACAGCGAGCGTCGTCGCGCGGCAGCAGACGCGCGCCGCTTGCGTTTCCAGGCGCCAACCCGCGTCTCGAAATCGCGATCTTCGAGCGCGGCTTCGACGTCGTCTTTGATTGGTGGAAATCAGACGATTACGGGGCGCGATCCGAGAGTCATTGGATTTGGTCGCAAACGATTCGTTTTGACAGGTGGTAGAAACAGCACTTGCGGGAGTGTGGTCGGCGGGACATGTCCGATATGTGTTGTGACAGGTAAGGAATGCAGGTCTCGAAGATCGCAATTACGGTTTCGCGCCACCTCGAAGCAAGGTCATCGCGCCGCTTTGGAGACATGGAACCCACGCTCGCTCCGAGGTTACGTATGCTCTACCACGGGATTCGGTAGCGTCATACTGGATATGCTACATTAGTGCAGAACTGCGTCGAGACTGGCACT